ATACCAATTTCATACACTGTAGAAATGAAAACAATATTAGAACAACAGAAAAATTGTATAAATATTCCAAACAATGACTGGTTTTTTATTATAACTTCAAAGCAAAGACAAGATACAAGTGATCTACAATTAGAGAGGTAAATCGGCTCACCCAAACAACGTAGACACTGCTAGGAAGCTCTCAAAAAGAAAACTATAGCAAAACACAAAACTCAACAATAGCATACCCTAAATCAATAGACAAACTCTCCCTTAAATAGCCCTAAAACACAATAACAAAATTAGAGCCTTCCTAATCAGCATAAACATAAATTAGAAAACCTTTATAAATAAATAGAACCTTTCGAATTAACATAAACATAATTTAGGAAACCTTCAAAAACAATTAAACATAATTTAGAAAACCTTCATAAATAATTAAACATATTTTAGGAAACCTTCATAAATAATTAAACACTTCCTAACTAGCATAAACACAATTAGGAAACTTTCCTAAACAACTTTTCCTTGATTAGGAATCTTCCTAAATAATTTACCTTAATTAGAAACTTTCCTAAACAACTCCCTCTTGATTAGAAACATTCCTAAATAGCTCCCCCTTCCTAGTTGTGGGCCCCGCAGCGCATCAACTTGGTAGTTGTTTAAGTTTCTATTATCCTATTAGCATAAACAGATTCCCTAGCATGATTCTCAAAAATATTGAGCTTATATCACTAAGGGTGAAACTCGCACAACCCTCAGGGAGAAGGTTTATATTCCCCTACGAGTGAATGTTTATATATCACCACAGGTAGCTTAACACAACTTCTGATGCATTTATATTGAAACCAGTGTCATGGCACATTTCCTAATGAGTTTGTAATCCCTGACCTAGACATGTGTTTTGATTTACTTCAACACATTTAATGCATTGGCACATGCCTCGACTTAGATTTTACAGGACCATTTCAATCATACAAATGCTTAGATGAATGTGCAAGGAACCTTAGCTATATAGCATGACCAATCGAGTTTATTGCAATACATTTAACAAGGTTATTGGAATGTTTTGCAGATTGATATACATACCAATTCGCCTCTTTATTAGGTTTTGGAATTTTTTGAAAGATGTGTAATAAAATCTATGCAATATACCTACGCTAGAGGTAACAACGGTGATCAGACGGCTGTTTGATAATGGTGGTGGTTCGGTGGAGCTTCGGAATTCTTCAAGCCTCTGAGATCTATCAAATTTCATATCTAAAATATAATTCTTCTAAAGCAATTTGATTTAGTAGCCTCTTTTTCTATCAATTTGGTGAGTTTATTTCACTATTAATGCACCTAGAAAAGCAACTTTCACATAATATTAACAAAATTTGAAGAGTACATTCTCTTAATATATTGGCATTGTTAATAATTTGTGTAACCTTATTTTTTATCATCAGTTATGTATATCATAACAATATTTTAGATCAAACATGACTATATTCATTAGGCTCCACTTGTCTAATTAAAACACGATCTCATTTAACTTATGTCTAATACATTAGCATCTAAGGATCTACCTCGACAACATCAACCTATCAGCCTATTTATGCCCAATAGTGGCTTGTCATCCTATCTTCGTATGCTCGATGTTATCCTGCATGACCATTTTTAACTGGCATTATTTAGTCAGCACATCTTTATGAAGTTGCTTGGCATCGATCTGATGGCCTCATTGGCCTAGCCCCAACCTGTATGTCCATCTTCATCTTTCCGACATAAGTCTGCTAGTATATCATTTGATCATATGTAACAATCGGTTCAAAGTTCAAATTAACTTGGCTAAGAGCTAACTTTGTTCGTTACAAACAAAATTTCAGGGAGCTTCTTAGGGCTTTCTTCTTTGAGTTTCCATGAGATTATGGACGTCACCAACAATCACTCATCTTAAATGCTCAATAATTATTTCAATAGGTATACTCAAGACCGACTTCATTGACAATCTAAAGTTTGTGGATTGTAGTGACACTGCAACAGAGCAATGTCTAAATGCATACATTTTGTATCTTTTGTGAATGGTATAGTTTGAGCATTTAGCCTAAATTTCTCTAAAAACAATAATCTGCATATGGATGATCGACAACCTAAAAGAATCATGTGACGGCACATTTCTATATTACGGGAGTTTCCCACCACATATCATGATCGATGAAACCAGGCTTAGGCTGCCAACTCCAGTTAAATCCTAATAAGACCAATGGCATAGAGATTTGCTGAATTTCATATCATTCCAACTAAATCTTAAGATCAATATCGTTGTCTTCCATACATTGTGATTTATAACAGTACCAAAAGGATATAGAAGGACAAGAAAAGGAGAAGAGTGTTGTTTTGCTCACCTTCTTCTTTCTTGAGGGCTCCTTGACATCTACTATCTAAATTCTCCTTTGCTATCTTGGTTTCATTCCCTAATCTAAATGAAGTGTATTGATGTAGAACGGATAGGAGAGCTTTGCTAGGGAGAGGATCTCTTCTCCGAAATCTGAGAACAATATCAGTTTTGTTCCCCCAAAACCTGAGAGAATTCAAATTTCCTCTTCTTTGTCTTGCTTAGACCTCTTGAGATGAATGAAGGTGATGCTCTAGAGAATAATCGAAGAGAAGAAGTTTCTCTGATAATTTTGTTGGTGAGAGAGCCCAAAACCCAAACGCGAGCCTCGGACTCTTCCGACGACTGATGGGTGATCCGTTGCCCTTCTCCAAGGGACTTCAAATCACGAGCCTGGACCCATCCTGCGGCTGGTGACAACTTCGATTCCTTCCCATAGGAATCTCACTCTCGTCCTCTCTCAAGAACAAATAACACAAGTGTGGAAAACAATTTTTCATATCAATAATTCATCATCCCCTTTTACAATAGCTTAAGGCCCTATATATAGGCCACAACATGAGAACGAAAACAAAAATTACAAAATTGCCCCTTGGGCCACAACACTCAAATAAACTAACCTAGGGGTAAAACAGGAAATAATATAAAATAAAAGCTAAAATTCATAAAATAACTCTTAAATGACAATTTAAATTATAGTCGTCGATTTACGACGCCTCCTGTGATAGATGCGCCAAATCTTCGTGCTGATGTCCGCATCATTCTCCCCAAGTGAGAGAAGACTCGACTTCGTCGAGTTAGCATCACAACTGCTCATGTACAACTTTGGACTGTTATTTGGAAGCACTAAACTCAATGGCCCTTTTGCAACGATTTTCAAACAGCCCCGATTGCCCACAAGGTCAACTTGCTTGTTGCACTGTAGCTCGCCAATTATGGATGTTACTTCCAGAGCTTCATCCACATTCTCCATTATAGGAGTTTTAACTGGGTCAGGAGAAAACTTTGTTTTTGTAGGAGTTGCAATTGAATCAACCAAATCTCCCTCTATATTATTTGCAATCATGCATTCCTCCTTGTCAACCAATTCATCTTCTTCTTCATGTTCTTCCTTGATCGTCTTATATTCCTCTTTGATTTGCACAGTGATTGGGAAATTGAATACTTCATTGGCCTCCAACCATTTGTCCACTCTATCCACTCTCTCTCTATCTCTTAGTGCCTTTTTTCTATCCTTTGATGCAAGGAGTTTTGTGTAAAACGGTGGGTCAGTCCTACCTCACTCTAGGTTGTCGAATCGTTCGGTTGTTTGACGGTGGAGGTCGGCTAAGTCTGCTTGATCCTCCTTGAGATGTTGACTAACGGCACCCAATTGACCTACCAACCAGTTTAAAGTCCTTCCAAGTCGATCTGAGTCCATGCTCTGATACCAAACTAATGTAGAACGGATAGGAGAGCTTTGCTAGGGAGAGGATCTCTTCTCCGAAATCCGAGAACAATGTCAGTTTTATTCCCCCAAAACCTGAGAGAATTCAGATTTCCTCTTCTTTGTCTTGCTTAGACCTCTTGAGATGAATGAAGGTGATGCTCTAGAGAATAATCGAAGAGAAGAAGTTTCTCTGATAATTTTGTTGGTGAGAGAGCCCAAAACCCAAACCGTGAGCCTCGGACTCTTCCGACGACTGACGGGTGATCCGTTGCCCTTCTCCAAGGGATTTCAAATCACGAGCCCGGACCCATCCTGTGGCTGGTGACAACTTCGATTCCTTCCCATAGGAATCTCACTCTCGTCCTCTCTCAAGAACAAAGAACACAAGTGTGGAAAATAATTTTTCATATCAATAATTCATCATCCCCTTTTACAATAGCTTAAGGCCCTATATATAGGCCACAACATGAGAACGAAAACAAAAATTACAAAATTGCCCCTTGGGCCACAACACGCAAATAAACTAACCTAGGGGTACATGAAATAACATAAAATAAAAGCTAAAATTCATAAAATAACTCTTAAATGACAATTTAAATTATAGTCGTCGATTTACGACGCCTCCTGTGATAGATGCGCCAAATTTCGTGCCGATGTCCGCATCATGTATGCTCAAAAAATATTAAAAGGAAAGTAAAACTATCCTCAAGTGCCTCTACATTCATACACCATAATGGGAGTGGTTATGGGGTCATCGATTGCCCACATTGCAACTCATAATCTTTATTTCATTACAAAAATAGGGATTTTTTCCCTATAAGATACAAAGTTTGATATGTAAGACTACTATTCATTTTATGTGAACCAATAAGATACAGCCCCTCAAGATTACTAAATATTATATGTAGACTGTAAGATTACTATCCACTTTATATATGAAACATGTAAAATAGAGCCCTTTAATATATACAAAGTTCAATTTTTCCATCATTTTCAAGGATTTTATTTTTGTGATATAATTCGCACAATCAAATGACCTAGGTGACTCCCTAATGAATTAGGGAACCATTTATGGGCATTTTTTATGGGAAAACTTCAATATAGTCAACAAAAATAAAATTTATGATACAAAATGTATGCAATATTTTGCATTAAAAAGTAAATTAATAACTAGATATAAATTTTTATGAAAGTTCAATGTTAGGATGAAATTACCTCTTTGCATTGCAAGAAGATATTGATGAACTATCCTGATCCTACTGTTTAACATTTTGATGGCGCTATGTATTCCAGTAAGATGGGCAGCCACTGTTCAGATAACACAACTGTTAACTATTGATTTCTCTCCTTAAAATATAAGGCAGGTAACAATGAGTATGAGATGAGGTCTTAAAAGAAGTGATGCCAGGCCTAACGAAGAAGCTTACATTGTGTCGCTGCTGAGCCTCCATCAGAAGGTTTGAGATGAGCTACATGATCAACTGAAATTCGCTCTGCCTCTACAGTCTTATAGAAGCAAAAATAATATAATAATTACATGGTCACTTTAAACCAAATGCAAATTAGTGAATTTAACTAAAAAATAAATACCTCAATAGCATAATTTGCTCGCACAAATATCAGCTGAGGAATACCATCAATGACATGCAGTTCTTCGAGAACCATGGTCAAAATTTGGGGAAAAAAGTCATTTTGTTAGTTAATAGCAAGAAGTTTCACTATAAAAAGTGAATTCAGCCAATCTCAAATATAAAATAGGTAGCAATTGCAAAAAAAAAAAACAAAATCAAAATAACCAGCTGAATGAAAATAGATGGTAAAGCTAGATGAACAATTCAAAGGTCAAAGTACTTACAAAAATATAGGGGTTGGCATTATAGATCTAAATCCAAGGCAAGAATGACATAACCAATTCATGATTGAAAGTCTTTCTTAACTCGATGCAGAACATAAATGCAAAAATGATTTGATTAAGAAATTAATACGCTTAAATTTTAGAGAACAATAGTAAATAAACTTATATTGATTTTAAACGATAAGACAAAACAATAAAGCGATAAAACAAGCTTAGGCCAAATCACATGCGTAGAGGTTAAGATCCTAAAATAGTCAATTACTCAAATATTGCATACATGGAAGGTCTTCATCAAAAATCCCTATGCTAACAATAAGACTAGTCACTATGCAATGATCCTTCACTCAACTCTCTAGATCACTAAGTTTTAGCGGAAGAGAATAAACATGATCTTTGTGAATTAAAATATAACCACAATAGAAAATAAACTAGGAAGATAGGAAACTTGGGGAAGAGTTCAACATAGTCAAGTTCTTAGGTGTGGTTGGAGGTGCGCGGAGAAAGCTGCGAAGTGTGGCGGTTGATCTTGACGGCGTTCTGCGTGTGGACAGCCGGTGGGGTCTTTTGGGCAGCAAACAGCACTAGAAGACTGCTGGATTCTCTGAAAATCCAGAGGAAAAAACTGGGACAGCAATTTCCAAGGTCTTGGGAGGGAGGGCTGCCATGGCAAACGTCCAGAATTTTCTGGGCAGCAAGGAGGTTGTAGGAAGTCTTCTCACAGCAAAAGGGGATGAAGTTTGGAGAGTTAATCAAGTGGAGGGAGGTGGGAAAGGTTGCCGGCTAGGGGAAGGAGGAAGAGAAATTTCTATTCTCAGATTTTAGGCTTTGGTAATCAGAGGAATTACATTCCAAATATGAAATTTATCTCAAATTTCAGGAATTGAGGAATTGATTGGATTTAATTTGGGGTGGGAGAAATTATTGTGGAAAGAGAGAAGATTGGAGAGAGAGAGAGAGGGGGGGGGGATGCGGGTAGAGAGGGGCCGGCAGCTTCAAGAGATGGGAGGGGTTCGTGGAGATGAAATCAAGGGTTGCTTGATTTGGAATTCAAAATTAGGAAGGACTTAATTAATTCCAATCTAGTTTGAAATTCAAAAGGGCTGAATTTGAAAACTTTCTTAAAATAGATTCCTATGTTTGAAAAGTTTTAAAATTCAAAATTGATTTGAATAATTGTGATCAAAACTTTCCAAATGAGATTGGGTGAAATATGGAAAGTATTAATGGGAGATTTGAGATTTGGAGGCAAGGAGAAGGGCTAGGCCGGCGGCTAGGTTAGGGTTTGGGTAAGGGGCCGGCGGCTAAGGTTAGGAGGAGGTTGGTTTGTTGGATGGTGGTGCTAGGCCGGCTGCTATAGGGGGGAAAGGGAGGGCTGGATTGGCCGGCGGTGTGGGGTTGGTGGGGTGAGGGGAGTGACGGTTTGGGGGTGGAGGGCTTAGGGTGGCCGACGGCTAGGACAAGAGGGGAAGAAGAGAAGAAAAAGATAAGGAAGAAAAGAAGCACGAACCCGGATGCTTCCAAGGTTGGTGGGTGATCTGATTTTCCCTCTCCTAGAGATTTCTCTCCAAAGCTCTCAAGCTCTCACACAAACAAAAGAGTGCAGGAAATTTCATTAACATTCATTCATTACCTTCAAAAGAAATATAAGAGGGCTATATATAGCCTCATACAATGAAAGGGAAAATAAAAGATGACATTTCCCCTAGTGCTTACATATGATAAAACCCTTAAGGGTACAACGGGAAATGGTACTAAAACAAATACATAAAACAAATAAATAAAACTAATACATATGAAGACAGAAGACTAAAGAATAGATCGGCGCGATCGTGGCCGTAGATCTTCGGCCACGTCTCTAAAAGACTTTTCAAGATCTGATGTCCGCATCACTCCTTAAATTATAACCTATTTCATGGTATTCCAACATACTTATTTAAACAAAAGTAGTTCATACGATTGGATATACATTTCAAAACTATCCCTATTTTTATTTTTGTTGCAGGTTGAGGTTATCAAGATAGCTCTTTCAGTAGTAACCTACAGATATGCACAATTCGAAAACATGGTCAAGAAGTAGGCACTGAAAGTAGCGCCACTCTTGTCATGGAAAGACTTAATTCTTGGAGAAATAAGAATTTATCTTTGGTAGGGAAGATTACTCTTATCAGGTATTCCTTTTTATCTTTGCCAAAAAATTTATCAACACTTTCTTTGGTTCCCAAAAGGTTATTGCATGAAATGGATAAACTTAGTAGGGATTTTATATGGCATAAATCCAATGAAAAGAAGGGTTCGCATTATGTTGCTTGAGGAGAATTATGCAAACCGAAAAGTGCTGGCGGTTTGGGCATGCACTCGGCTGTTCTTAAAGCTGGTCCTCTTAGAGCAAGATTACATGGAGATTAATTCAAAATTCTGATTCTTTGTGTCACAAGAATATCATTGCTAGATATGGGAATAATGTATTGAAGGAAGAAAGTAAGAAAGGAGCTTCTATTGCATATCAATTTTTTTTAGATGGCAGCAAATATCGCAAACCCATTATTAGGTGGAAAGTGGGAAATGGTGAAAGTATTAATGTGTTGAAAGATATCTGGCTTATTGATCGATGTCTTAATTCCTGGCCGGTAGTAGCTGATTGTGTGGGAATGGAGGATACGATGCTGCATCAATTCATATCTATCGAAGGTAACTGGAATGTAGATGAGCTTCAACGTTACTTTCATAATGATCTTATAATGTTGATTTTACAAGTTAAAATCAATCATGATATTCATAATGACCAAGTGGAACCTATGTTTCGTTATTCCAGGAAATCGATCTCTGCTTTGGCTTATGAGGAAGCAACGAAAGGAAGCATTATGGAGGATGATCTTGGCTTTTCAAGGTGGCTTAAGAAATTGAAATTGAATCCAAGAATGGAATTGTTTTGGTGGAGATTAAGTATGCTATTCCTACAAACCTCTTTCTTAAATGTAGAAAACTTTCTTATGATGATTTATGTGCGAGAGGATGCCATGAAATAGAAAGTTATGCTCATATTGTGGTGAATTGCTAGTTTTTGATTGAGATTATTCAGAAATTAAGAGATAGGGGATTTAACATTCCAATGTTTCAACCATTGGAATATTGTTTGGATGAACTTAGAAAACTCTCTTTTCAACACTCCAACATGGTTAACATATATTGTAGTTTATACAGCAGTTTTTCTAGCTTGGAAGAATCGGACTAACTTCAAACATGGTAAAAGTGTTCTTCCAAGTGCGGTGGTGGCTTCTAATGTGTTGTATATGTCCATGAATCATTATAATCCAAGGCTAGATAGCTGGAGTGTTAATCTCCTATGGGAGTTTCAAAATTTTTGGCACCCTCCACCCCTAGATTGGATTAAAATAAATGTGGACGCTTCGCTTTTGGAAACTAATCTTGCAGGGATAGCAGGAATGCTTAGAGATCATAAAGGAAGACTTCTTCATGCTTTTGGAAAAAGAAGAATTCATTGGGATGTAGCTCAATTGGAGTTAGATGTGGTTGTTGCAATAAGAGAGGTTATACAAAGTTGGATGATGGATAGTGAAGGTATAATAATTGAAGGTGATAATCTCAACATTATCAACTTCATTAAAGATTCTTTGAAGAAATCTAATTGGCAAATGGATATTGATTTGTTAAAGGAGCTTCTCTTTCTTAATGATTTCAATAAGGTTATTTTTAACCATGTTAATAGAGATTGTAATAAAATAGCCGATTTATGTGCTACTTTGGCTTTAGAAGGTAGTTTTATTGTTGATAGTTTTTCTTTTAGCAACATTCCTTCTTCTTTACTTACTTTGTTAAAGAAGGAATGTGATCCTTTTATATCCTGTAATTAGTTCTCCTTTTAATGCAATTTGCAATTTTTCAAAAAAAAAAAAGAAAGAAAGTAGGGCCACACACTTTTTAAAAGAGTAATGCTCCACTCCCAAAAGAATTCCCCATATAATCGTTTTTCAGGTTTTGTGCCCCATACTAATGTGGATATATGATCCTCGCTTTTAAGTGGTTCACATCAATTTGGGACACAAGATTTATTTGTGGATTTCTTTAGGGAGTGGAGCACTACTTCTTAAAACAAAACTTAGATATTGGAAACTATTTTCTAAATTTATACAATAAGGACCGATAATGACAAAATGAACTATTTGTTTAAGATCCGCATTTCAATAGACATATGAAGGAGAATATTTGATTTTGAAAGTAAAAAATCCTGAGTTCTCAAGAAAGGCCACGCCATAACATGCCATAAGACTTGAGATCAAATGCGTGGTATGGAAAAGGTGAAGTGCACGCATGGTCCTTTTGTTTATTTTGTAAAAGTCTAAATATGTTAAGGTGTGGTCGATCCATATACTCATTGCATCCATGGCAGATGCAAGCAAAACATGATCTCTAACATCTGTGTAATTCCAAGAGCAGCCTCAATCACACATGCAAGAAAAGCTCAACAAGATGGCTAACAAAGAACATTAATAAAGTTGTAAGCAAAATAGCTGGTGAATATCATTACGTCGAAAGGATTGCAAGTTAGATGAAAAAGAAACCACATCCCCTTATAACCTAAATGCATTAAAAATTGTCGGCTTCTCCATAACAAAACTAAAGCAGGAACAATTAGGTTGCCATGCTAGTCCAAAGGCCCATGGGTGTAGGAGTTTAAATGAACTGCCTTCTATTTCTATTTCCCACCAAATTCTTTTTCTTTTGCTTTCAGTAACTTTATAAATAAAGCATAAAAATTAGAAAAGATGGCTTCATCCC